TAGTTAATTAATAGCTAATAGTTTTACATGAGAAAAAAAGTTTTGAATAGGCCTACTTCTTCGACCACTTTCAAAAACAACATTCCGAGTAAGAGAAAGGGTGAAAAGTAAAACAAGATGGCGGATTCCTGAGGCCCCCAAATCACTAAATCCGCCCCTGAAAAACACCCAGGTCGCGATTACTCGCAGTCAAAAACTTCAGCCAAATGCACTCAGCAAAAGTTTTTCCCAAATAGGTGTATTAGTTACTTTAGTTATAAAGTAGAGGATTGATTTTATTGGTGAAAGTATTTTGATGGTGGTGAATGTTAATAGTTGGTTAGTATCAAGTCTTACATTGGGAAACACGGTCTTACTCTGGAAGGAAAAACACACCCAAGGCTGGGCTTACTCCTGGTCAAATGGTGAAATACACTCTGGTTCGATGCTGCTTCCAGTTGGCTATCCGCTCATGTTGACTCCACGGAAGCGAAGAAGAGTTCTCTTGAAAAGTGAAATTCGGTCCATGAGCCGTGGTCCGCTTGCTACGACGTGCTTGACTGTCAATTCAAAGTTTATTAACATTGAATGTGTCTTAATTGCATCAAAGTCGACAAAGCACTCCCTTGGGTTCCCAGCAATACATCCGCCAAGTGTGAAGTAGATCGGATGAGCTGTTCTGGAGTTATCCGTAGGACAGACAGACAGACGGACAGACGGACGGAATCTCTGCTTCATAGTTATATTATCTGAAATCTCTTAGCGTACGTATTGTTATGCGTTAAATGTCAAAGTGCATACTATATGAGCTAGACACCAACCATGAACCCTCACCTGTATAGCTCAGTTTTTATCATTTGGATTCCTCACCAGAAATGTGTGTGTGTGTGTGTGTGTGTGTGTGTGTGTGTGTGTGTGTGTGTTTGTGCACTCAGAGTCTTTATTTCAAATGTAATGGTCGTCGTTCACAGCATCCCCGTGGAAAGTATTCAGGATAAATACTTTTAAGAGGATTTGTGAAATTTAGGTGAAGAGATGGTGCAGTCGAGAGCAGCGCTCCTCTCTTTTTTTCTTCAGTTGTAAGCCCCTTTCGAAAACACACGCACACCCTCTCCTTCCATCAAGTCTCCACTGCTCATCCTCCACTTTATTGCCTGCAGGCACTCTAACTTGGAGTCTGAACTTATTATGCTTCTCCCTTCTCTGAATCTTGGTGCACTCAGCTTGTGAATGGAGAAGGAATGAGCTCATTCTACCTGCGTCAGCACGGGGAACGGTTATGCTGCAGACGGTTCGGTGAGGAAAGTGTAATGAGGAAGCACAGGTTCTTCTGCGCCCC